AGCATTTGAACTGCCTCAAGAAACACCATTGTTGCTCAAGGAGATTGGGCCTCTGGTTTCTGGCTGATTTTTTACTTTTATCTCTGAGTCAAGGGGCTGCCTTCCATCTAGACCTAAGCGTCCCTGTCCTGTTTTAGTAGGCAAAGCTTGTATGGCCACTGATTGCTTTTCTCTTTCCCTTTCTGTCATTTGTGTTGGTTGGTATCAGTTGCTTCCAGATTCTGGCAATAGATAACAGTAAATCCTTGAATGACAGTGTTTTATTCAACATCATGGTTTTTAATTTTTTAATTTTAATTTTTTAGAGACAGGATCTCACTTTGTTGCCCAGGCTGGAATGCAGTGGCACGATCACCACTCGCTGCCACCTTGAATTCCTGGGCTCAAGGGATCCTTCCACCTCAGCCTCCTGAGATACTGAGGCTACAGGTGCATGCCACCATGCCCGGCTTATGTTTTACTTTTCTGTTGATATTGGGTCTTGCCATCTTGCCCAGGCTGGTCTTAAACTCCTGGACTTAAGAGATTCCTCTCGGCCTCCCAAAGTGCAGGGATTATAAGTATGAGCCACCACACTGGGCTCAACGTCATTTTACTATAACATTGATGAGGAAAAACATTGATTCCCAGTTAGGGCCACTGTCTGTGTGGAGTTCGTGTGTCTTCCCCATGTCTGCATGGGTTTTCTCCAGACGCTCCGGTTTCTTCTCCATCTGAAAGATATGCATGTGAGGTTATCTATGTGGTTCCACTGTGAGTGAGTGTGGATGTGTCTGAGTGCACCCTGCCATAAGGTGGTGTCCTGTCCAGGGTGGGTTCCTGCCTGGCATCTAAGCTGCCAAAATAGACTCTGGCCACCCGACACTCTGAATTGGAATAAGCTGGTAAATAATTTTCAGACTTACTGTTATTAATTTTTCTTAAATGTACTTATAGCCCACATTTATGTCAGTGTTTAATATTACAAGTGTTTTGGTCTTTATTTAGAAGTTTAATAATTTGGTAGGGCACCGTGGCTCATGCTTGTAATCCCAGCACTTTGGGAGGCCGAGGCAGGTGGATCACTTGAGGTCAGGAGTTCAAGACCAGCCTGGCCAACAGGGTGAAAACCCGTCTCTGTTGGAAATACGAAAAATAAGCTGGGCATCATGGCAGGTACCTGTAACCCCAGCTACTTGGGAGGCTGAGGCAGGAGAATCGCTTGAACCTGAGAGGTGGAGGGTACAGTGAGCCGAGATTGCGCCCCTGCACTCCAGCCTGGGCAACAAGAGCGAAACTGTCTCAAAAAGAAAAAAAAAAGGAAGTTTAATAATGTTTTTGTGACCAGAAATGTGCCATAGGAACTTATTTCTTATTTACATTAATTAGACTGTGGTAAAGTTGATTTTGTTACATGTCGTTTTGCTTAAAGTTGCTATTTCCGAGAATCTACATCTGACATTAAGAGAAGATTTACTATACTTGTGTAGGGTATCTAAAAATTATACAGCATAATTCAGTATTCAGAAATGAGGCTCTTTTTCCCTTTCTGTTTCTCCCTGCCTTTTCCAGGGTGATGTCTGGGCTCAGGAGGATGCTTTTTAGCATCATGACCTGGGGATGGGGGTGCGTGCATCTGGTCCTTGCTGTTCTCTCAGAGGCATCCTGTCCTGGATGGTCTGTGGATATGGGAAGCCAGCCAGGGCATCTGCTGACTTGTAGCTGGTCCCATTTAGCCTTTGTCATCTGCCAGCAGATGCTGACAGTGTGTGTTGTCCTTGCCACATCCTATCTGGTGGGAGGCTCTATGCTCTCTCCTTCAAGCCACAGGCCAGCCAACCATAGGGAATTGTGTGTGTGTGTGTGTGTGTCTGTGTCTGTGTGTGTCTGTGACTGGGCATGGGGGAAAAGAGACAGAGACAGAGAGAGAGACTACTTCAGACCCTGTCTCCCTGTAAGCATGCCACACTGCCTTTGCTGCTCTGCAGCTGTCATGGGTGGATGGAGATGTGTGCCTGTGTGCGGGGTCTCCCCCCAGTTCCAGGTGTACAGTGAGGCACCGCTCACTCTCTCCTGGGTTTCTCCATCCTCTTAAGCAGCTTCTCTATGCAGCTCTAGGATTTCACCTCCAGGGGCTGTGCCGGGGAGCAGCTTAACACTTGTATCACTGTGTCTACTCTAAACTCATCCCCTTTGCTGGTTTCTAGGTCTTCTAGGTCCTTATCTGGGATGGGCTTTCATTTTTTCCATGGGTGGCAGGAAACAACTTAAATCACATCCTGCAGTCTTTCTCTTTCAGGACTCATATAAAAAACTCCATGCTTAATGATCAAAGTTTTGGCTCTAAAGGGAGATTTTTTTTTTTTCCTTCTCACATATAAGTTTGTAGTGAGGAGAGGAATTTAAAAACTTTTTCTTATTAACTTTTAATTTTGATATAACTTCAGATTTAAAGTCATAGGAAAAGTAGAAAGAATTCTCAAATACTTGTTATCCAGAGTCTGTAAATGTTAACATTTTATCACATTCTCTTTTCTCTCTCCCTCTCCATACAAGGGCACACATACATAGACATACATGGACAATTATACATATGAATCAGGAAAGGATTTTTTCCAGTTATCTATAGGCTTTACTGAGACTTTGCCAACTGTCCCACTAATATTCTTTATAGCAAAAGAAAAGTCTCAGGATGTGTATTACATTGTTGTCATATCTTTTGCTCTTTGTGTTTAATGACATAGGCACTTTCGAAGAGAGTAGGCCTTTTATTTTGTAGCATGTCCTCCCGCTTGGGTTGGTTTGTTTCTGCTCCATTAGATTCAGCTTATGTGTTTTTGGCAGGAATCCCACGAAGTGATAGTGTCCTTCTCAATGAATCAGATCAGGAAGTGCATGATGATGATTGTCCCGGTACTCACAATGTCAGCTTTGACCACTTTAGGTTAAAATGGTGTCTACCAGGTTTCTCCATGGTAACGTTACTCTTTCTCCTTTGGTAATTAATAAATTGTCCTGTGGAGAGATAGATACTTTGAGGCTATTATCCTATTATTTCTCAAACTGTCACCCATTAGTTTTCTAATTTATTGGTGATACTTACCTGAGTCAGTTATTATGATGGTTACTAAATGGTTAATTCCATAATTTCTTCTACATTAATTGTTTTTGAAAAAGAAGGAAGAACTTTCTAAAGTGAGACTTTTGGAATTCAGAAAATTCTTTTTTTCCCCCTTAAGAGTTAAGCTCTTACAATTGAATGCCCAACTTTTTTTTATTTTTTATTTTTCTGAGACAGAATCTCACTCTGCTGCCCAGGCTGGAGGCTGGAGTGCAGTGGCTCCATCTCAGCTCACTGCAACTTCCGCCTCCCAGGTTCGAGCGATTCTCCTGCCTCAGCCTCCAGAGTAGCTGGGACTACAGGCACATGCCATGACGCCTGGTTAATATTTTTTTCTATTTTTAGTAGAGACGGGTTTCACTGTATTAGCCAGGATGGTCTCGATCTCCTGACGTTGTGATCCGCCTGCCTTGGCCTCCCTAAGTGCTGGGATTACAGGCGTGAGCCACCGCACCTGGCCAGAATGTCCAACTTTTGAAACTGTTGTCTTTTAAACTCAAAGCTGATAAATGGCACCTTTGTTCTAGGTTGTACCCGTCTCTCTCTGAGTCAGTGAATACCACGGGGATGATGGGCAAAGAGCCACAGGGTCACAAGACTAATTCTCACCACCTGCGTGACACTGGCCTCAGATAGTCGCTTATCACCTGCGAAGGTTTTCAGTATTGTGTATTTTCATATTTTTGTGTCTTTACAGGTGTTTTAGTATAAAATTGAGTGAAACTGTTATAAGAAATTATGGGATAGAAAATAAATATATTACCACTTCAAGAATGTAATGTAAATGTAACTTAAACTGATAATAAAATGTTGCCAAATTGCTGACTTGCTGAGCCTAATGAATATTGAAGACCCCTTAATAATAGTGGTTGTACCAAAAAAAATTAAAGTTCAAAAATAATTTTAAACCATTTTGTTTTCTAAGTAGTTTACCCCTCTCTCCCCAGGCTTATACCACAAATTTGCTTGATTAACTTACCAAAGATTGTTCAAAGACTAACACTATAATGTCAGCCCCTGTTCATAATTCATTATTATGAATTCCAAATTAGGGAATTGGAATTGGTGAATTAGTTTTTACATCAAAGTTTTGTGTTTTGAATTTGGTGATTGTTGAGGGTTAAAGTATCTTCTGCCTGCTTCCTTTGTTTGTATCATCTCATAGCGGGTGTTTGAACTTGGTTTGCTTGCTGGGAGAGGGGTGGATCCTGTAATATCCTCGAGACTTCCCATGTTTTCTGGCAAAACCGTTTCTGTGCCATAACCTGGCAGATTCTCTCACCTTAGGGTATAGAGACACACTTTTAATAAAATGTTTATGTTAGCAGCATCTTGCAAACATAGTGTCTGAATTAGCTAATAGGAGAATATAAAAATAAACTACATTGAAACAAAGAAGTTGAAAAACACAATGTCCTATTTTCTTTATGGAGGTGTCAAAAAATACATCAGAAAAGAAGAAAGTTAACTGTGAAGAGTCTCCCAAGTTATCTCTCACATTTTTGTATCTTAATGACTGATCACATATTTGAAGTCTCTACCTTGGAGACCTAAAATAAAAAGAAAACCACGATTATAGTTACTCAGTGTGCATAGTCTCTGTATTTTGAATATCAAGATTCGGGTGCATTGTCTCTGGAGAGTTAATGCGATATTTTAGTACACTAGGGAAATGCTGTTTAACTCTCTTAGCTTCTATAGTTTGTTTCATTGGCGCTTGTATTCAAAGATGTCATTTCTACTTGGAGGCGACATTGACATTGTTTAAAGAAATTTGTATGCGTGGAGGGGATTGAGGAACACTGGAGAGAATATTAAATGTTATCTTTTTAAAGCAACTTTGTAGACAATTTCTTATTTATTTTGTGAGCATTGAACAAGTGAGTTTTTAAATCAACAGGTCCTTCTCGTGAGGATGAAGACAACTTTTTCTCAGTGTTTCATACTCAAATCCCTCCAGAAGAATATGAAAAGCAGATGCAGAAAGTCAATAAAGGTATGTTTTAATTTGTGTGATTATACATATTTTCACAAGGGAATACTAGCTGTATACCGAAATAGTCGTAAATGAAATGAGTTCATGTAATTTAATCCAGAGGTAAGTGGAAGCGGATAGGGTTCAAGATGACACAAGGTTGGTCATTGTTGCAGCTAGTTGTGCAGAGTTTGTTATACCATTCTCTCTACTTTTGGATGCTTGAAATTTTGTATGATAATAAAGAGTTAAAAAAAAAAAAGCTGGCTACAAGTAATGAAAACCTGGCTTAAGCAAAAACAAATCTGTGAAAAGAATGTTGGTGGGAGACAGCTTACTTTGGTTCCCAAGAGCATACACTGTGGTTTAGACATTCAGAGGTTGGCTCAATTCTGCAATCCTAGAGAACAGCCTGCGTGATCCAGCTGGGTCAGGGGCCTACCCATCGCTCAACCAACTTGTTCAACCCAGCAAGGTTTGGCATCACTGTAGGAACACGGCAGCTGTATCACTACCAGACTGGAGAGAAGAGGACAGTTCCAATGAAGACAGTTTTGGCCAGATAACCCAGTGTTTTTTTCTTACTATTTATTAGAAGTATATTTTAAAGAAACTCTATGATAAGTGTAAACATGGCTGCATTCCCTTTGTATTTTTTAAATGTTGTATTATTAAGAGTATATGAAACTTCAACGGAATAAACCTCATATTTCAACTAAAAAGGCTGCATGCAACTTGAATTATTATGGAAAGAAGTGTTACATTTTGTGTCTAAGATGGCCATGCACCAGAAAAGTAACTCATACTTTAAGTATTGGTGGTTGATTAAAAAAATAATTATGTGATTGTTAAAAAATGAAACCCCAGGTATAAAGCATAGATTTATTTGCCTATAAGTTTATATAACTTAAATTTGAATAACTCCAGCTACTTTTGTTTGGAAAGAGTTTAAATCAAGAGATCTTACTCTTTCCCTCATTCTTTCCATCTTTGTTTTCATCAAAATTTTGTTTTCATCAAAAATTTTTTAAATGGTTATATCTGTATTGACTCTTTGGTAACTAGCTATAAACACACCAATTGACTAGCTCCCTTAACTCTTTTGATTTAGGTAACCTCCCTTACAAAATGACAAAATTAACAAAATGTACAAAATTAATTTTTATGTAAACTTTGCCTGGACTGAGCTCATGACTGGTGTTTTTTTCTTTTTTGGATTTTAATGTGGAAATGCATCCTGTTTTGTAGAGCAAACTGCATGTGCTATTTAAGGAGATGCTCCTTCTTCATGCATGTTTTCAGAGCTTTAATGAAGGGTTCATATGGTCTTGTTTTAAAGTCTTGTAATGTGACACAGAGAAAACAAGATATTTTATAAAGGGAATATGAATCCACAAGTATTATTCTTATTTTGAACACTCAGGGTATGAATATCTCAGACATTCACTGAAGACTCTTCTGAAAGGTTGAGGAAAATTGGCAAACTCAGGTGGGCTTTAGGGGTTTGTGCAGATGGGAGCCAGGACGCAGGACGCTAACTCCCAGACGTTGCTCAAAAGGCAGGTTAAACAAGATGCGGTGTTCAGAAAGGGTCATGGTAAATTAATAGAGGAGTAGGGATGACCTAGTCTTTAGGGAAATTTTTGTTTTGTATCAAGACTGAAATAAAATATATATTTTCAAGTTTCCCTAACATCAGTGATTTCTTCTTCACATGTCTGTCTTGAAGTTCTATTCGTATTTCCCATCATTCTCATGGAGTCAACCGGAAAAAGTTTGATACCTGATAATGAATAACACAAGAAGTTTTATGAGAATGTAATTCAAAGTTATTGCAGCACATTTATCTTTTTAAGACTAGATCTCCATTATATATTAGGTTTCTGGATCTGGAATTTAGAAGTTAGTTCTTCTGTGTGGGTTTTATTTCTTACATATTTTAATACATGCTTGAAGTGAACTTATAGCATAATTGACACTTTTAATTACGAAAAAATTTTGAACTTTTTAAATAGATTTTACCTGTGATGTGGAAAGAAATGAATCATTGATCAAAGCAGGAAAGAAACTTTTCTCAAATACAGAAAAGATTGAGCTCAGGGGCAAACACAACCAGGATTTTATTAAGAGAAACATTGAGGTATGTACTTAGAAATGTAGAAGCCAGAATATGGGGCTAAATGAGTTGAAAAAAATGGCGGTAGTTTTGTTCAGTGTCTTTAAATATTTTTTCAACCATCATAAATGTATAAATGATTGAATTAGTAGATATACTGAAAGAAAACGTTTATAAACCAGTACTTAATTATCTCTGTGTTCAATCCATTACATCCTATCCTATCCTATCTCTTTTTCAAAGTTCTAGCTGCAACTAGCATTTATTTCACTCTCCAGAAATAGTCTGTTTCCTGTAATTTGCAAAACATTTATTTAGATAATAGCTTTGGACAATGTTTCTCAGATTTTAAATTGCATCTTAGTAAGTTTTTTTTTTTTTAAGTAATGAGACCGATTTTATAGTTAATGCGTTTAGAACTTTGAATGGAAAATGTGCCTGGCAGAGCAGTAGGGCTGGGCTGGAGAAGCCTACTGGTTGTCTGCCTCTTTGCTGAGCCTTCCCACAGCTGGTCACTGGCCTTGATTAGCTTCTGATTCAAGCACCCATCTTTGGTCTTGTAGGCCTTGCAGCCTGACTTTGTTTGTCTTTAAGGCAGACTCAGACTAAACAAGGGCACAAGGATTCCTGGGTTAGACCAGAATGCTCATTAATGAATTTACAACAGGAAATATAGTGAGGAGGACAGAAGCTCTGCTCAACCCTTGAGCAGCGGCACTAGAAAACCACCTGGGCGAGTGGGGAGTATTGACAAGGGAGAGTTGAGTAATTCCTCATACTTCAAGCCTGATCCTTTCCCTACAACTGGCACATCATTTCAGGCAGATGGGATTTGTGGGGCAGCCTGCCACTGCCGGGACTAGCCTCGGGGACTCTTGATTCTTGTGATCATTCATATGATCTTCTTCAGGAAACCTTCTCCATCTTGATCTGCCTCTTTCTTTGCACTAGACCCTTGTATGTTTATTTACTGTTCAATTTTCAAGAGCAATAGAGCTCCCCTCTTACCTGGGATCTTGCTGACACAGATAGCAGCTCTACCGTAGATTTCTCTTTCCCCTTTTTAACAACAGTAACTGAATATTTAAATTCCTCATATGATAGTCTTGAAATTTAAAAGCAGTTTCATTTAGTGGATAAGTGCCCCAAAGAAAGTGGCAAGAAGATTTCTTCCAAATACCTCAGCAAGTATGATTTTGCATTTATATTTTTTAACTATAATAGAGAGGTTTGAAAAGTACTCATATTATTTTTTAATAAAATGTCTGTTGGAATGGTTAACAGGGCCTGCTTATAGGGATGATATCTTTGGATATTAGAGAATGGCACTTTACAAATATTTTGGCATAAAATAAAATTACATAGCAAATGTAAAATGCCTAATCTCACAGATTTTTCTCTTTGTGTATCAGTATTGTAGAATTCTCAGGTCCCATTTTTATTTTCCTGAACTATGAATTTCTTTGAGTATATAATGTTTTCCATTAATAAATTCTGTAGTTGGCCAAGGAATCAAGAAGCCCAGTGGTTATGATTGACAGAGAGAAGAAAAGGCTGATTGAGCTTTTGAAGGACTTGGATGATAAAGATTCCGGGCTCTCCAGTTCTGAGGTATGTAAACTCTGATAGGGAACTCTACACTTCTTAATTTTGATTTTATAAAATCATATTATTGACCCAGCAGCACAATTTACAATAATTTTTTCAGATTTTGAGACATTATTCTCTGACTTTAAAAAAATCCTGTTTTACTAACACAGGAACAGATAATAAGTGAGAATATTGCATGTTCTCACTTTAAGTGGGAACTAAATGATGAGAACACATGGACTCGTAGAGGGGAGCAACACACACTGGGGCCTGTTAGAGAGGAGGCTGGGAGGAGGGAGAGGATCAGGAAAAATGACTAATGGGTGCTGGGCTTAATGCCTGGGTGACAGATTCATCTGTACAACAAACCCCCATGACACAGATTTACCTGTATAACACACCTGCACATGTACCTCGGAACTTAAAATACAAGTTAAAAAAATTTTTTTTAAATCCTGTTTTGTACCATTATTTTTATAGAATTTTTCAAATTTATTCTTGGTCAATTCATTACTGACTTTCAAAGGATGATTTTATGTCCTGCTAAGAGTGATTATACATTGGTTATCACAGTAACTTCTGCCTGTGCCGTGATATGCTTATTGCTGATAACATATGAAAGTACTTTTCTGTCTCCTTTTCTTATCATCCCTAAACTGGTTTCATGGTATTTCATTGTAGTCTTCAGTAATCCTAAAGAATTCCATCCCGTGCCTGCCCAGTTAACCTTGAGCAGCCAGTTCCCCGAAGAGTCCTGGGGTTAACAGGAGGGCCTGCTCATGGTGAAAGTCCGGGGTTGGGGGAAAGAGACCAGACTAAAAGAGCATGTAAAAGGGAGCAGCATGTAATGGGGGTGGGGTGGGCGAATGCAGGTATTTACAGGACCTGGGAAGGTCACAGTGTTTGCACTTGTTTATATTACTAAACTTGAGGAATATTCTTTGCTTCCATGAAGAAATATACTCTCCTGTGTTCCTTGAAGCACTTAGCCCTACTGTCTATTCCCCTGTGAGTAATAAGGACGTGATGGAGTGAATGCGGCTGGCGCCCTGCCTGTATCCCCTTTCCCTGACACCTGTCTGTGCATCCATGCCCCAGCCCTGTGCTAAGGGTACATAGCTGTTCCCTTGCCTGGAGAATTTCTCTGAGCCAAATGGGAATCATACAGCCCGGGATATCACTCCTTCCCCGCCCCCCCCAGACCCCTTACCTAAAGGTGGGATTAGCTCTGTGGTGCAACGTGTCCTCCAGAGCTTCATCAGGGATTAGACTGAAGCTGGTCTTCAGCTGAGACCACATCCTAGCTTGTCTCTGTGTCCTTGCCCTAGCCTGTTTTCCTCATGTCCCTGTTCCCAAAGGCACTCTCCCAGTGAACTACTTGAATAAGAATCCTTGTCTTAGTAAACTTATCTGCGGAATATCACAGATAATAATCCTCTAAATAATCCTGCCTGAGATAGTGAGGTCCCAGCGGGGGCTGTGTCTAGGAACAGATGAAGGTGTTGCTATGCCTGCGGCTGATGAAATAGGGGAAAGGGGTGGGCGAGGGAAACTGCTAAATGCCCACATAATTCTGAGACATTTTAGCTTCACTGACTCATGGTACAGTCATGTGCCACATAATGATGTTTTGGTCAACATGCATATATGACAGTGGTCCCATAAGATAATAATGGAGCTGAAAAATTCCTGTCACCTAGTGACACCGTAGCTCTATATTTTAGAGTTGTGCTCCTTGTACTTCTATATAAAAAAGGCAATTGTAAAACAGCTTCAGGCAGGTCCTTCAGGAGGAATTTCAGAAGACAGCATTGTTATCATAGGAGATGACAGCTCTGTGCTTGTTACTGCCCTGAAGACCTTCCAGTGGGACAAGATATGAAGTGGATGACAGTGATGTTGATGATCCTGACCCTGTGCAGGCCTAGGCTAATGTGTGCACTTGTGTCTTAATTTTTCACAAAATTTTAAAAATAGAAAAAGAAAATTTTAAAATAGGAGAAAGCTTATAAAGAAAGAAACTATTTTTGTATAACTGTATACTGTGTTTGTGTTTTAGGGCAAGTATTATTATAAAAGAGTGAAAAAGTTAAACAAATGTAAAAGTTTTAAAAGTAAAAAATTTACAGTAAACTAAGATTCATTTCTTATTCAATAAAGAAAAATATTTTAAAATAAATGTAGTGTACCCTAAGTGTACAGTGTTTATAAAGGCTACAGTAGCAGCCAGTGATGTCCTAGGCGTTCACATTCACTCACCACTTACCCACTGACTCACCAGAGCAACTTCCAGCCCTGCAGGCTCCACTCGTGGTGAGTGCCCTATACAGGTGTACCATTAAAAATATATATTTTTTTGAGACGGAGTTTTGCTCTTGTTGCACAGGCTGGAGTACAATGGTGTGATCGGGGTCACTGCAGCCTCCCTCCCGGGTTCAAGCAATTCTCCTGCCTCAGCCTCCCAAGTAGCTAGGATTACAGACATGCTAATTTTGTAGTTTTAGTAGAGACAGCGTTTCACCATGTTGGCCAGGCTGATCTCAAATTCCCGACCTCAGGTGATCTGCCTGCCTCGGCTGCCCTGAGTGCTGGGATTACAGGCGTGTGCCACTGTGCCCGGCCTTAAAAAGATTTTTATACCATATTTTTTTATTGTACCTTTTCTATGTTTTAATAAGTTTAGATTCACAAATACTTCCCATTGTGTTACAGTCATCTACAACACAGTAACTACAAAATATGCTGTGTAGGTTTCTAGCCTAGGAGCAATAGGCTTTGCAGTGTGGCCTCAGTGTGTGGTATGCTCTACCATCGAGGTTTGTGTAAGTACATCCTGTGATTTTTATGCAGTGATAGAATTACCTGATGATACATTTCTTAGAGCATATCCATAACAGTAATTTGTCTACTTTATTAACAAAAGCTCGGATAACCGTAAGAATTAAGGGATCTGGGTTTCATTCTGGTTTTGTTATTAATTGTGAAATTGGGTAAACTGCTACCATGGTCTCGCTGGGCTTCAAACTATGGCATGCTAGATTTTCTTTATACAGTCTAGGAATGCTTTCGTAATGACTTTTTGTTAATAATTTTGCTGTTTGCATATTATTTTTATTAGCATTTAGGTTTCATCTTTCTATTTTAGGCTCATCTCAATCATTAGTTTTAGATCTTGTATACGTACTGTGTAGCTGGGCTTTGCTGTTGCTTTTGTGTCTTCATCTTCGTTTCTTCATCCTTTATCTTTTGTTATTATCAGTATGAGGTTATTTAAGTTACTCATATTCATTATGACCACATACTTTTTGAATTGTTTCCTGACATCAAATTGTATATTTTATTTATAATATTTGTTTTTGTTTATCTCCCTTTCCTCTTGTGGTTTGGAAATTTAATATCCTATTTCTGATCTGGTACTGTTAACCTTCAAGTTTTAAAAATACATTAAAATGAATATTTTCTTTTCAACTTCAATAATTAGTTTCTAAAGTTTCATATTTTAACAAGATTGGATCTTTGGTGTACTTCTATTTCCCTGAGTTTCATTTTCTTTCCTTTAGGATATATGGAGACATCTGGAATTTTAGTTCTAGAATATTATACTTTATAATCTTTACCTTTAAAAGCGCTGTGCTTCTTGTTTGATAGAAATCTTTTTTTTCTTTTCTTTTAAAGATGGGGTTTCTCCATGATGGCCAGGCTGATCTTGAACTCCTGACCTCAGGTGATCCACCCACTTCGGCCTCCCAAAGTGCTAGGATTACAGGCGTGAGCCACCACACCCGGCTCTTAGAAATTTTTCTCAACAAAATTAGCCAAAATTTTTAGCCACACCATTAACTGTGTATTTGGACTCAACAAATTATTTATTTGTATAAATCATTCCTTGAATTATTTTTCTGGAACCTTTTTGAAAAATTTTGCCCCAAGAAATGGTGGACTGCAGATAATTTTTGAGTGTGTATTCAAATATTTATTTTTTCCTCATTTGAATGTTAGCTTAGCAGATAACTAAATTTTACATGAAAAATCCTTTTTTTTTCTTGAAACATGTAGGATTTTCTCCTTATTTTGGAGTTTATGATTTTTATCAGATTATATTTATGTGTGTCTTTAAAAACATTTCAGTTCTTGCTTGGTAGGCTCTTTCTATCTGAAGGTTCAAATCTTCCTTCAGCTCAGAAAATGATCCTTTTTTATTTCTTCCTTTCCATCATCTTTTTTTCCTCTTTTTGGGAGACCTACAAATGGGGTGTCAGTTGAGAATGTGATTGGCTGCAAGTAACAGTGGCTTAAACAGTAAAGAGTTAATTTTTTCCTAGTAACAAGAAATCCAGGAGTGAGCAGCTCATGTCTTTCTGTCCTCCTGTTCTACATTCCTATGTAGATTTTGTCTTTAGATTTGCAAGATTGCTGCTGCATTTGTAGGCAGTGTGTCCATTTTCCAGGCAGACAGAAAGAGGGAAGGGGAAAGAGCAGAGATGTTCCTCTGAGACTTTGCCTTTTCACTGGGGATGGTACGGTGTCCCCAGGATTTCTACCTGCATCTCACCAACCAAGCTGTATTGTATAGCCATTCGTTCAGTATGTTGGGGCAAATGAGAAGGAGGATTCATGTATATTACTTTCTCTTTTTTTGTAGTAGAGGTAGGCAAGGAAGAAGGAAATGAGAAACGGGGATCTTGTCAGTCAGTAGACAGTGTCTGCCACAGATCGTTATAGGACCTCTCGGACCTCTTTTCCAGGTCTTACAACATTTTCTCATAATGTTAATCTTTTTTGGCATTTTGCACATATGAACTCATTATACAGGTTTCCAAGTTGGGTTTCAGCCATGTCTATTCTGCTGCTTAGTTATACAGCTCTCTTTTGAGATTTTTAAAGGCAATTACTGTTTTTAGGCCAGGTGTGGTGGCTCATGCCTCACTTTGGGAGACTGAGGTGGAAGGATCACTTGAGGCTAGGAGTTTGAGACCAGCCTGGCCAATATGGGGAAACCCTGTCTCTACTAAAAATATAAA